CCATGTATTTCCCACAGGATCTGCGGGGAAAGAGAGATATGGGATGAGAAAGGATGGGTGGGATTGAGAGAGAGAAACTGGGACGCTCCGGAGCTGTACAACGGGGGAGGTTGTATTTGCATCCACAATATAGCACTCGTTGTGGCAAGCAAATCTGAAACTAGGAGTTTAGCCGAAGCGGCAGCTCGCTGTTAGGACAATTTCGGATATGACTTTTAGGCGGACGAACCCGAAACCAGAATCGGATTCCATAGATTGCCATTTTCTGACTAGAACAATAAACTCACCCGTTGACATGAGGTAGGAGGGATTTGGCTCGGGATGGAGGGGTCATTTGGAGGGGAAATATCAGTGGATGAGGTGGAGCAGAGAGGCCAATTATGTACCAGTAGCCACCCCGTAAGTGCAAGGACTGCCAAAATGCGTTGGCGTGGTTGGAATTTATTCATCCATGAAAACGAGCATATTAGTGCATCCACCACATTCATCACCAACACGCCCGCTTAGGGAGTCAGGTCAAGCCGAAAGTTTGCGAAGATATGGTCTTATCGGGAAAGCGAAGGCTCGGTGACAAGTATACAGTGGGGAACGTGTAGTAAACAAGCACCACCACTCTTGTTCGTGGCACCAACACAAGTATGTTAGCCGTACGTAAATGAAGGTTTGTTTGCGCAGGGAACTAGGTCAATATGTCACTCAACAACCTTGATCTCCTCCAACTAACGCGCAACTGTTGTAAGCAGGGTCGTGTTGACTGTCCTGCATTCCTGGCATGGCCCTCTGGTTAAAATGTGGTATTTTCAGTCATTTTGATGATAAAATTAGAACTGAATCCTAATAGCTGGTCCGATAGCAAACGTGAAGTTAATAAACGCATGGGTCTCTCGGATGCGCGCGGGAACGCCACCTTGATGCGTTACATCCGGGTAATGATCCGGTAATAATAAGTATTATTTGGTAGGCCATCAAATGCCAGTTGTCCAAAGAAAGAGAGCAAGAGAAACTGGCAACTTTTGCATAAAACGGGTTCACAATGTAAACATAAATGCGAGCACGCAGAGACCCGATGGAATCCACTCGATCGGTAAGCACAAATGAGGACTTTGGTTGGGGACGAAGCGTTTTTGTCAAACACAGGACGCATGCTCTGGGCAAATTTTAAGACACATGCATGAGGCTGCGCCCTTTATCTCGTTAGAGCTCAAAACTTGAAAGAGATCTGCCTATGGCGTAAGGTAATCTTAAGAGGGAAGCACTAAGAACTTAGTGGCCGAAGAACTATTTCGAGCATGATGAAATGTAGGTGCGATCGGCAAGCGGACTTAAGGGAACTAGGTCAATATGTCACTCAACAACCTTGATCTCCTCCAACTAACGCGCAACTGTTGTAAGCAGGGTCGTGTTGACTGTCCTGCATTCCTGGCATGGCCCTCTGGTTAAAATGTGGTATTTTCAGTCATTTTGATGATAAAATTAGAACTGAATCCTAATAGCTGGTCCGATAGCAAACGTGAAGTTAATAAACGCATGGGTCTCTCGGATGCGCGCGGGAACGCCACCTTGATGCGTTACATCCGGGTACATGCGCATTCCCAACAACCTTCCACCAGCACAAGTGGTCCGCTCTGTGCCAGCACTTGCATACAGAATGTCAAACAAATGATTGCTATCGAATGCCTGTGCCACAGACTTAAGCCTACCACTATTGCAGTGTACATCGCCACATGAATACAAAGCACCAAAGATATCATTTTGAGAATACATGAAAACAGCGCAAACTGAAGGCACATTGTGTGTCCCGGATGCAGATTAATCTACATGCTCAATACATTCTCCTATAGACTGTGGCTTTGCAGCCTCTAAACATCAATTCAGCCATGCATAACACTTTTCTTTAACATTTTTTCCTTGTATATATCTAACCACCAACCTACCTGGACTCATCCAACTCTTATAACCAGTAGCAAACCCTATTTGTACGCAGAGTGTGGTTTCAGGTGCCTGTCATTACCCTCTTTTTGTTCCCCTTTGCTCTCGATCAGCGGCCGGTTGAATTCCTTGCCCACTCAGTGTATGAATGCCATTAAATTCTTCTATTAGCTGCATATGATTGCATCCCGGACACAATTTGTACCTTACAACGCTCTTCTTTTTAGGTGGCTTACATATATAGATGTCTTTCAACTATCCCCTGTTCTCGTGAACTAGACGAAAAAGCGACGTGCTGTATACGCTCCTTCCCTTGTCCATATCCCATTACTTATTGACCTTCCTGGGTGTATCAACGTCTTACTAGCCACCGTACGCGGCTCTTCTGTTCATCGCTCATCCAAAATGCACCACATTCGTGGTATCTGAACTATAGCTTGTCTAAACTTCATACGCATCACGCAGACGTGGCTCCCTCCAAGATAGCTTGATGCCCTTATTTCCTTGCGTTTCCTTCCTTCTCTCCCTACAATATAAGAAAATCTGGATATTTTTCGACCTTTACCTTTCCCCATACCGCAAACTATAAGACAGGCTCCCCTCCCATATCCGCACCATATCCCTTTATGTAGGCTTACAAAGCAGCCTGGGATCTTACGTATCTCTTGAGATATCAGAGTGTCATTTCGCCCCACAGCTTGCACTAGTCGCTCTGTTTGAAGAGGCCCCGAGCCGTTCTACGTTGCGCTGTCACCCCATCTGTTCTATTACTTTGTCCTACCATGTAAACTCACCTTTGAACTGAAGGCCAGCACACCTGATGCAGCGCAGCCGGCAGCACAGAACACAGCAACCAGTGAGCCAAGCCTTCTACCAAGAAGGTGGACCGATCGCCGTCGACGTCAAACCACTCTTTTTCAAATGGACCCCCGAAAAACCCGTTATTGACATTCTTTTACACGGGGAGGTGTTGGGGATGCTTATTTTCCGAATTATTGCCAGTTTATTTTCAAAAATTTTTGAATTTTTAAATTTCGCGCCTTTTCCGCCATGTTGCACCTCAATCCGTAAAGACCGCGCTCTTTTCCTATTGGCCAGCTATACTTTGTGTGCATTAACTGACTCTTCGCTCCCCAAGGTCTCTCGAAATATATATATACGACGTTGCTCCCACTGTAATTCGCCTTTGGTTGAGGCAGTAAAAGCCCTCTTCTGAAGGCCTGGTCTTCTTCTCTGTCTGCACTAGGAGTGGTTGGGCTCGCGTCATAGCTGGGGAGTTGTGCGCTCGTTCTCAGGTCGCCTATATCCGTTGATCGTACCCGACTCCGATACATATCACTTTGAGAACGACATTTCACACCTCTTTGCAGGCTTTCGAGCCTAATAAAGACGACTACATTAGGACGTTTATGAATGACAAACGAACATTACGGACACAGAGCGCCGGAGCTGTGTTCGGTTCTCAAATGATGCTACGACATTTTCAAGCATTTCGGTCCATTACAAAACATGCGCACTGCATGATCACATATTTTTTCTTGCAGGATCATCATCATCATCAAAGACAGCAACATCAGTGTTGGCACTGATGCCTTACAGCTTCACTTCAACAACAGTCGCGCACATTTCAAGGTCAGGTGTTGTAGAACCGTTTTCTTGGATTATAGCCCACCCATAGGTCGTTA